TAGAACCAGGCAGCTGGGAATTGATCTAGAACACACGTGGCAGGAGAACAGAGAGTTTCTTTGCCACATGCTTTCCCATCGGGCACTGGTTCCTCCTGAGCCTACGGACAGGGCTGCTCTGAATATTACTGAAGACAGAGGGGATGGGAGTGGGGCGATCCCAGGCCTCGGGAGCCCAGCCCTCCTCACATTAAGTGCAGGTGGGATAAAAACAGGGGATCTTGCCCTGCCCAGTGGTCAGCAAACTGCGGCTCTCAAGCCACATGCGGCTCTTTGGCCCCTTGACCCTAGCCGGTTTGGTTCTGTGGGTAGAGCACCAGACCACAGAACTGCAAACTGAAGGGACCCGTGTTCGATTCCGGTCAAGGGCACATACCTTGGTTGCAGGCTCAATCCCCAACCCTTGCCTGGGCATGTGCCAGAGGCAACCAATCCCTGTGTCTCTTTCACATCGATGTTTCTCTCTCTGTGTCTCTCCCCCTGCCTTCCACTCTCTCTAAAGAAAAACAATGGAAAAATATCCACGGGTGAGGATTAACAAACAACAAAACAAACAAACAGGTGACCTCACCATTCTTCGACATCCTCCACCGGCCCTGACTACTTACAGGGCTGGGAAAACAAGCGCCATCCCTGCCAAAAAGGATGCTGTCCCTAAAGGAACCTGCCATTTCACTCCCCATCCAGAAAGCCCCGGTCTTCTTGTTTGATAATTAACATCCACCCTTACTTTAACATCTTGCTCTCTGTCTACTTCCCCCAGAACATCTTTTCCATGTGCTTCTGACTCCATCGTATGATGCTTGAAGCACCTTGAAACTCATGTGTCCTTCGATGGGTGACTTTTTCTTGCAAGTACTCCATCCTGTTTGACTGGGAGCTCACCTAGAGGCAGAAGCAGCGCCTGATGCCAAAGAACTCATCTTCCATGGCCTTGCTCTTAGGTCTACCTCAATCCTGCCTCCCCCAAGGGCCCAGCTCCCACCTGAGATTGCAGGGGTCTCCACACCTCAGCACCTCACTTCTAAAGGAGAACCAGGAGTCTCAAGGTGCAGCCAGGTCACACAGAGCTACACGCTTGCCAGGGGAACCTCCCCTTGAGTCCCAGAGCGCTCACTCCTTCATCCCGCCCACATTGCTATGAATAATAGCTTGTCTCCTCCACTGAAAAAGTGGAGAAACCCAGACCCGTTAATTTTATCAAAACCCAAGGCCTTAAAAAAAAAGTACAACAAACAAAAGAACAGAACAAGAAGCGGAGTTTCTTGGGAATGCCAGCATTCTCTTTCTTGACTCGGGTAGCAGGGAGATGGGGTGTTTGTTTTGCGATTGTTACTTAAAGCATACCTATCTTTTCAGACACTTGTGTATATATGCATGTCGTATTTCACAGTTTAAAACAGTGCCTTTCCCCCTGAAGGCGTTCAGTACCCGTGGACCGTGCTCCCTTTTCCAGTGGGCCCTCGGGCCGGGGAGCTGAGCGAACAGGGCCGCCGTGGGGTGCGGGCTGG